AGGCGTTGAAATACGCCGAGCTCCAGCGCATCGCCAAGGCCGCCGGGCTGAGGGCCAACCTTCGGGTGAGGTGGGGGTGGCTGCGAGGGAGCGCTGCCTACGAAGCTCTGGGTTCTGGGGTGCCCCCGTGCCCGGCCGTGAGCCGAGGGAAGGCGTCTCCATCCTCCCGGGGCGCGCCCTCCTGGGCCTGGCTTGGCGCTGGGGTGCCCCGGGGGCTGTACTGCCGTCCGCGGTGCGGGCAAGCGCTCAGGGAGGGGGAGAGCGGGGCTCCGGTGTTCCCCGGACATCGAGAAGGGGAGGCGGCCCGTTCCTCTCCCGGCCCTGCCGTTCCCCCAGGCCGGTGTCCCCACGCTGTTTGCCCCCAGTGAAACCCCAGCTGTGGCTGTTTGACTGGCTTGGTTTTTTGTTTGTTTGGGACTTTTTAGGGCTCGGGTTGGGAGGAACAGTGACAGCAGAGCACCTTAAGGGAGGAGAGGGCCGTGGTTAAGGGCGAGGGGGTTAAGGACGCCTCAGGGTCCTGCCGGGAGCCGCAGGGGCATGCGAGACACGGCCTGGCCCCTCCTGGCAGGCGCTGCCAGCAAGGGCAGAAGTCATAAAACCTTAAAAGATCCACGGCTTGGGTGTATAAGGCAGCTCTCTACCCTCACAGGACTCACGGTTGTTCTGGCAATGTTTGTTTTGGGGTATTTTGATTGTTTTTATGCTGACCTTTCTACTTAGGTGTCTGAGAGTCTTTCATAGACTGAACTATCAATGGCGCGTTTTCAGTGTTATTTTATTACTATTACCGCTGAATGTATGCGAGGGATGAAAACAATGCGTGTAGTATGGGAAAGACAGAAGCAATTGCAGAAGTTTGATATAATTTTAATTCAAGTTCAGCTGCACTGCAGGGCTTAAAACAGTTTGTCTCATTCCTTGAACAATTGACCTCCTGAAAAATAGACCAGGCGAAACCTAGTCAAGGAAATTTATCTTTTTGCCTCTGGAGAATATGCTTCACATTTATCAGTGGCTTTAGGCACTTTCTGTAATTGACTGATTCAAATGGTGTCCTAGGTATGCCTTATTCTGTTGGATTCAGGAAATGTTCTGCTTGTTTGTTGGATCAATTTATAGGACGCGTGTTGGGCTTTTGCAGTTCTTCAGGGACTTGATGGACTATTGTGTTCATGTGTTTTTTGATTTCTCTTCAGGCAGACAAATTGCTGGAATCATTGAGGCAACACTTTGAAGGGACAAAAGAAGAAAGTGAAAATATGGTAACTGATAATAAATCAGCTGTTGCTTTTAAGAAATGTAAATCTTAACTCGTAACCCATAGAGCAGGGCATGTGCTGAAGAGTGTTTTTGACCACGATGGGAACTGTCATAGAATTACCTTTTTCTTCTTAGTGCCCTTAGTTTAGAGTACTTATGTACTGATAGAAATAGATGTGCTAACGTTAGTTTTGAAGCACCTCTGTGTCTGAGAGCTGATTTCCTTCCAGTTGCCAAAATCGACAATGTGTTTTTCAGCATGAGTACAAAACTATTCTCTGTGAACAATAACATTAAATTTCCACTGAACAAATCTTAATTCTTACTTTTTTGGCTCTAGATACTACTCAGTACCAAATGTAAAAATATTTTATTCATTTTGTATGTGTAAATGAAGGTGACTAGATAGTAATTGGCAAGTGCTTTGCACCTACTACAATTTACTTCCACTATAACAAAAGCAATACAGTTGTGCTACTTCCTTTATTTGCCTCTTAGTGTACTGTTTTCTTAATTTTTTTTGAGTTTTCTGTAAGCTGAATTATTTTGTTGAGTGTGGCAATGTTTTTGAAGTTTTTGATTAAAAGTAATTTATCTACTTTGTCTAAAATATATCTCCCTTTAAGTGCATCCCTTAAAAATCTTCTTTAAGGGTTTGAGGAACTTGTGTAAACATTTTCAGCTTTTTTAAAATTTTCATGAGCAAAAAAGGAGGCCTGTTTTTATTGGTGAAGAGTTTTCCACAAATATACAAATGTGGGAGTGTCGTGACATCATGCAAGTTAGATTTCAAATATAAAATATTAGGCATTTATAATCTTATTAAAATGAAATATGATAAAGCAATTATAGGAATTGTATTTAATGTCTCGAAACAATGATCTTCGATGCTTGGGGGAATGTAGATAGTGCCAGTTTCTTGATTACTGTGCTACTACATGGCATGGTACTGTTTATCCTCTGTGCAAAATGCCTTTTTCAGTAACAAAATTGAAACTTTCCCTGGAGTATTTAATTTATATTTGTGTCAGGTATCTTCCAGTTATAGTATTTTTCTGCTACAGGGTCCTGTAAAGAGTGAATCTGCTTCCATTAAATCGGATGAACTGAGCAATCAGGAGGAAATTATGTCTGATTCAGTGTGTTTTATTACAAAAAGAGGTGGTAAAAATAAGAAAATAACCAGGAAAAAGAGGAACTCCCATGAGGAAAGTAATGCCATTGAAGAAAACCCAGTGCCTTCTGATGAGAAACAGGTGATTTTGTTTGTGTGTGTATAGACACATATCAAAATTCATGTGCAAGTATCCTGGTACTGGTCTTTTGTATTTTGTACCACTGACTTTTGTCTATTTATGGCCTGTCCCACAATAAACAGACACTACTTGCTAGTCATTGCTTCAAGAAAATAAATTCCTCTGAGAAATGTTAAATTCCAAACACTTTATCTGAGTGTAAGACTGCTTTCACCAGTGCATTGTAGTATTCTGAATCTTAGGCTAGTTTGAGAATTTATGTAAAACAAGGTTGTTCTCACTTTTTTGATACAGAAAAATTTATCAGAAGTTGCACAATTGCCTAAACCTCATAATTTATTTTTTTTTATTGTGAGGGTTCTTCATTCCTTTGTGTGCCTGAGGGAGGGAAAGTCTCAAGGTGAGATAGAGGTAGAATTTATTTTTTTCTTGAGTTACAAAGAGTACATAAGCTAAGAACTGACTAAAAGACTTTTACTGCTGTAGAGGGTGGAAATGAGAAAATGAGAAGTATTAGTCTTTTAGTGCTAGAGAATTGTACAGTACACAAAAATACAACAGTAAAAAGTAATATCCCCAGTGAGCTTATTCTTACTTGCAAATAATAAACTTTTATCAATAAAGGCAATTTTATACTAAAATGGGAGAGCTATGCAGGTAAAAGCTTTCTAATATATCAAAGTTTGTGAAGTAAACAGGGTAAGTATTTCACAGGTTAATTCAGCTTGGACTTCAGAAAATCTCTTGCTCGATCTCCCAATCAAAGCAAACTGAGCTATGAGGTTAGAGCACAGTGCTTTAGGCTTTATCCAATCTGATATTGAAAACCCTTGAGGATGAAGGCTGTGCACCTCTCTGGGCAATCTGTTCCACTGACTCACTGTTCTCAGAACAACAGCCTTTCTTTATATCCAGTTGGAACAAACTGGTAAAACAAAGTGTATTTCAATTGCAGGTGCATTCTGAAATGAAAGAAAATGGAGTGCCTCAGGGTGAGCACAAAAAGAGACAGAAGGTATTACAAAACAAAAACCAAATAACTGAAGAGAGAGATATTGAGAATACAGAGATGGGTACTGGACAGAAAAAACAAGCAGAAAGGACTTCTACTAAAGGTAAGGGAGAAGAGTATAAGCAGAAAATTGGATAAAAGTAACTTTAATTTATGCTACTTAGAATAACCAAAGTATAATTTTATTGTGTCTTCAAAGATTTTTGTGGCATGTTTGTTGATCACTTCCTTGTTTTGGGGATACCAGAAGCAAATTGGTCTGGTTTGAGTTTGTGTTACTCGTTTAACATATTTTAACACAAAAATCCACAAATCCTGCAGTGTGGGAATTTTGCTGGCTCTGACTTCAGAACTCTTGCTTTTAGTGGAGGAGTTCTCAGAGATGTGAGTGTATTTGAGTTTTACACTTCCAAAAGGTTCAGTGCCTTTTGGAATGCCCTTGAGGTGTTGTTCCAGCTGATTTTATTTCTCAAAACCTAAACCCACTTTGAGGAGATAAAGTGTGTTTTGAAACAAACATTGGAACAATATTTAAAAACACTGTGATTACTTTAAATCATCTTCCAGGAGTCCTGATGATTTTGTCTAATCTTACTGTAGCAGGTAATGCTCATCCTGCAGGAGGGAAGATCCCTGTACGTGTAGGCCATGCATCTAGGTCTGCAAGAACAGGAATGACAGCTACCACTCCAAGTAAGATAACCTACCATCTTTAGAAAGAGATGTACTTTCTCTGTGTAAAGGGAGACTTAGCTTAATTTCTTTCAACTCAAATTTCTATTCCTGCTCAAATAAAAGAATACCCTCTCTTTAAAAGCAAACAAACAAACAAAAAAGTAATTTCCTAAATGTTACATTTCAAGGTACATATTCCAGCTTGTAAATTCTTAGTAGTAAATGACTGGTATGTATGTTAAAAAATTGGTTTATTGAACATTTTGGTGACTTTTCAGTACAATACTTGCATTAATGATTTTCAAAGACCAGGAATACATACATGCTATTACTCCTACTTGTTTAGTTTTCACTTTATAAATACTATGGTTGTGCTGTGCTACTGTACATTAGCTCATGTTCATCACTTCTTAAAATGCATTAAACTATATCAAATGTAGAAGTATTCATTGTTTTCTTTAACTGCAGATTTTGGGGGTTGGGTTAGATGATCTTTAAAGACCCCTTCCAACCCAAACCATGGTTCTCTAGTCCTCCAGATTACCAGGTAATGGGCCACGTAGCTGGTGAAATAAATTCTTTTGGTCCTGTTTGTTCAGATGTGTCTACAGCCTTGAATTAGATTGACTTCTTTGAAGCCATAAAAATAGGTGTCACAAAATCCTCCTATTAAGTACTAAACATCCTTAGAACTATATATGTGATCTGTGAATCTTATTTTTGGAACTTCTTAGACTTTAAGAAGTTGCATGAGGCTCAGTTCAAGAAAATGGAATCTATTGCTGACTACATTGAGAGGAAAAAAAAACTGAATGAGAATTGCAGCACAGTCAAGGTAAGAGATAACACAGGAAGATATCCATTGCTGGCACATTTATTTCCAGGGCCTTTCTGTAAAAGTCCTACCAAGGTCTCTTTAAATCAGTAAGTAGCTGGTCATGTGAACATGCAGTGGAATGTTACAACAAATGAAATTTAACTGTAGTTCTACATTACTATTAGTTATTATTATAGTTATGTACAAATAACTATTATATATAGTTATATAACTATACAAGATTTTACATGTTAACAGTGTACAGCTGTAGAAACCAACAACTAACTTGTTGATTTTGAGTAAAAATAATTGTCACAATTACTTTTGTGAAAGATTTTCTGGAACTTTTGTTTACAACTGTTTGAATTGCTTCAAAATTTAACCAACAGGCTTGGTTATTTTTCAAAGAGCAGGAATTAAATATTAAGTTTCTCTTTTGTGCCTGAACTATCATCCCATGGCTACATATGATTCTCCTTAAAAATACATGCAATATGTGTTGTTCTCAGTTCTTGTATTTCACCCTCACCTGGGTGAAAGCTGCTAACAGGGCCTCTCACAAAGTGCAGTAGAGCTCAAAAAAGTGACAGTAATGTATCAATGAATGATTATGTCAATGGCCATGGAATTGTTCAGGTCAGTTACTCTAGCACTGCCATATCAAACAGTAACAATGAATGAAACTCCTGAACATTACATTTGGGTTTTTTTTAATGACATATTGTAGCAATGTACACTTCAGACAAACTACTGTTTGCAGGTGCTAACCAGAAAATCAAATCCCTTGAGATCATCAGACAAAGACACTCCACATTCCAAGGTATATGTTGTCAGGTCAATTTAATAATAATAAAACTACTTACATTAAAAATATACTTCTAAAGAGGGGGGGAAAAAAGGAGAGAAAACTGAATAAGCCATATGCTTCTGATTCACTGTGTATTTTCCCTTCTTGGCTGCTTTGTAGACTAATGTTCAGCAGTCTGGTAACTCAGAATTTGCTTTTCCCTAGAAACAAGCCAGTGGCAAAAGATTTTTATTCAGCCCAAATCCAGAGAGAGGCAGATTCTCCAACACCTGCACTCCTAGTAACTTCCGGCGCTCACCACGCAATTCTCTGAATGCTGCTAATCGGAGTATTTTATCCCAGAAATCTTCATTCCATCCTTCTGTACTTTCAACATCCAAAATGAATGTCAGGTAAAAAGAACAAACCAAAGCTACCAGCAAGCCATTTGACATGATGCACATGAAATAATCAATACTGACTGTGATTTTACTGCATTATTTCTCTTCCAAACATTAACTACGCAAGACTAATTCTGATTACTAACTTTCAGCCTCGCTTTGTGACTGGCTTAAGCCTCACTCTGCTATTAGTATCTTCATTCTTCATTTTTATGTCCGTTAGAAGAATCTCAAATCCTGGCTTTCATTTTGCTAAAGTCAAATGATGCAAAATCGAGCAAATTATTTTTCTTCTTTTACTGTGTTAGGTTTTCTATTTTACCAGGCAACCTAATAGTTTATCTGAATTAATTTATCTGTAAATTTTTAAAATCGGAGCTTTCCTCAGTATTCCAGGTGAGTCTTGCAATGGTTTTTCGCTATTTTGTTCATTTTGTCCTCTACTTCCCCTCCCCTTCAGTGTCACAGCAGGGGTGCTCTTGTGATTGACTACCATGGGCAGATCGTTCCTAGCAGATGGGAACCAAGCTGACACCAGAAGTCATGAGGAATTGCTAAATGAATGAACTCATACTCAGTGCTATTATACCTCATCTAATTTCCTTTTAGAACACCATCTGTATGTCATCATTCCTCCACAGCAATCCAATTCTCAGTATTAGTGTTAATACTTCATGAACTTCTGTTATCAGTATGTTTTATTCACTTCTTAATAATTTTCCTGGAGTATTGATCAAGAAATGTTTTAAAAGAAAGAATTGAAAGGACAGTCCTTATGATATCCTATTGATAAATCTCCTTTTGCTTGGATTTCTAGTGAGAGCCTTTATTTCTACTATTTCTTTGTCAATTTCTGACTACTATACTAATTTTGACTTTAATCAGTTTCCTAAACTTTCCACAATTACTGAAGTTCTGATTAGACATTCTCCCTTTGCTAACAATACACAGTTGTTTGCTGGCCTTTGTTGTGTTACTTTCTCTGATGACCTTCACTTTTCAACTTTTGCATGCCAAGATCATGCTGCTGGGCCTTGTTTTTGTCCCTGACTAAAGTGTGTGGGATTGTTGTTTTCAAGTCAGATAATGCAACTTTTCATATTGGTGTCTGATAATCTATAATTATGTGACTTTGGAATGCAAGTCTTCTGCTGTTCAAAGGTAAAAATCAAGTTTAAAAACTTAGTGGCTTTGTTTTTACATTGAACGTCCTCTTTGATTTCAACAGATAACCAATGTAAAAAACACACAGCCTCTAGTGTCCACTTGGATGTCTTCACTGCAGCCCTAACTGATTCCTAGCAATATGTGAACCAAAACATTACTTTCAGAATTTGCTTTTGAAATTCAGTTCATCCAAAGTTGCACTGTGATGGACCTTGCAGGCTGTACTTCATCATAAATTTGCTCGTCCACAAAAAGAGCTTTCTTTGACATTTACTCTGTGTCTTTGTAATTCTTGCAAGCTTATAGCTTATTCTCAGTACCTTCTTTCAAGATTTTGAATTTTATGCATGTACACATATATAAGTGATCATAGGTATTAATTTAAAGTGTCTGTATACACATATACATACGGAATGTGTGTGTGTTGGTATGTGGGTAATTTGTGTGTTTCGAAATTTTCAGCTTCTTCCTCTTGTAGGTCTTTGAGGCTTAGCATTCTGTTAGTTGTCTTCCAGTTCTTCTTAATTTGAATTTTAAAACTAATGAAATACACAATGCTTTACTGCAGAATCCAGATCTAAAGTAAATTATATCTGTCAGTGAATAAATCTACTAGCTTATTGCACCCAAATATATTTGCTTTTCAAAATAACAAGAAAGTCAGTTATTTGGAGTTTCTAATATTACTTACTGCTATTAACATCGGCTGGAAACTTAGTGTTATACCAGCAAGGTATTTTAGTACAGTTTTTGTATGAGCTGTGAACATATTTCACACAGTAAATCTTTCTACCTGTAATAAAAATAGAATGCAGAACCTTCTATATTCCAGCACATTGCTTACATTCCTTGTAGGTGACTAAATTTGTCTTCATATTTCTAAAACCTTTCAGGTTCTCAGAAGCCACAAAAGATAATGAGCACAAACGCTCTCTTACCAAGACTCCTTCTCGAATGTCTCCATACATGGAGGAGATCTGCACGCCTGACACTCAGAAGAGCTGCAAACTGATAACTCAGAAGAACAGCAAGGGAAATAATGATCTGACTGCATCAAAGGGTAAAGTGGATGGTGAATATTTGTCTCTTTCAGATCAAGACTTTTGTCTTATTGAATTACCATACAAGCTTTTAACAACTGAGTGTCATGTAGACCCAGGTTTTAATTTAATTCTCTAATTTATGACTGGTTCTTCAGAAACTGCAGTAGTTTCTTTGTTTCCTCTGTTTTCCAGTGATTTGAGTAAAATGTTTAGGTGCCATGACTTAAACATATGGTGCTTAGCTACCTACAGAAAAGAGAAAAGAAAATCTTCCAGACTTTTAGGGACTACATAGCAAAAGATTCATATAGCAGATACAGGGACACCCCATCTGCACAGAGAGGAATTCCTGACACCTTCTCAGAGATCTCATTCTCCTTATGGGGTTGGCATGCATCAGGCTTCTTTCTGTGCTTTAGGACAACCTGTTGTCAGCCTCAGCACCCTGATCAACTCAGTAACAAAAATTAAGAAAAATCAGTCTTCTGATTACTAAGAATCTCTGCAGCAGCACAGTTCTACTATCCAGCCATTGACACCCGTAGCATCACAGGGATATTGGCACAGGTCAAGAACCCAGAGCTTCCTGGTTTTTACTGTATAATAATACTGATGTTTTTAAGGGGCAAGCAAAGTTCCATGCTGATCTAAAGCTGGCCTGTTCCAAAAGAATTGCCTCTTTGTTTAACATGAAAAACCACTTGGTTCCAAATAGGCATAGAAGAAACATATAATTTGCCTTGAAGGACTAGAAAAACAAATGGAGCTTGTGTTCTTCCATAGTAGAATCGTAGCTGAAGGGCCAGTACTCCACAACTCTTGCCCTCCCTATTTCAAGTAAACTGTTTGTGCAATTCTGTCTTTATAGGTAGCAGCAGGGGCCCTTAATGGCTCTTTGGTCTTGATAATTGTAGTGTGGTCTTCACAGGTGCTTTCCTACTTTCTGTGTATATTGATGCTCTTGCTAGTCTGTGTTATCTTGATGCCTTTTGTAGTTCTTACCCCCTTCAAGTTTGGAGCTCAATCTGTGGAACCCTCAAGTGGAAAGAAGACATTCGATCTCAAAGCAAGTCTTTCTCGGCCGCTTCGGTATCAGCCACACAAAGGTACCGTGACCTTTGTGACCCTGTGCAGTCTGTGTTGGTCACACCCCTTACACTCAGCTGCTCCTGCTGGGGTGCATTGATACAAACAGCAAGAGCAAAGTTTACAGTCTCCTTTTCTGTCCCTTTTCCTTTCTCTCTGGGTTCCTACACAGTCTGATGTTAAATTTCTTCTTAATATATGTTTTAAGAGCCTTCCCGCTGAAGATTTTATGACCAAAAGCCCATAAATAGAAGAATAAATATACTTGTATTCCTCTGAATAGCTGTACATACAGGAAATATGAAATATTCCGTACAGAACCAGGTGGGTTTTTTTAATGTCATGGGAGAAGCTGAACTTGGCATGGTGAGCATTACTTCCAAGTACAGTCACCTGTTACTACTTATGGAAGAACTACTTGTAGGGAATGGGCTGGTGAAACTGATAATGCAGCTTAAAGAGGCACTTCATCTTCAAGACATCCAGCAAGAAACAGGCTAGCTAGGATAAATTCATGATAAGAAGTTAAGCACACAATTACTAAACTATTAAACTAGTCTCTCTTTTTGCCCCTAAATTATAGGACGACTAAAACCGTGGGGAGAACCTAAAGAAAATGCTGTTCTCAGTAGATCTGGTGGTAGCAATATCTGTTCACATAAGAAAAATTACAAACAGCCACATCTCCAGACAAGGTAAGTACACCACTCTTTAGAGTGTTTCTAACACTTTCTAGATAGTTTTACTTAAAATATGATTCATTCTTCTTCTTCAGACTTAAATGTAGTTTGGGAAAGAATAGTTTTGTATTAAAGCCATTGTTCCTTCCAATGACTGTTCAATTTCAGGAAGGCCAACAAAAGGCTGTTCTGAATTTGTTGGACTTTTTTCCAGGAACAGTATCAGTTCCAGAACTTTGAGATTTACCTTTATCTTGGAAGAAGCTGTCAATGTTGATATGCTGTTACATGAAGTATTAGACCTGAATCTCTGAGCAGAAGTCTTTGCCTGGATGTTTGGGTTCAGTCCATAACAGTACTGTTATCTCTGCCCATGGCAAAGGCAGTGCACCAATTAATCTTGTGTTGTGGTCAGCTTCAGATTCCTTTGGTTGCTTGTGTCTCTACCTCTAATAAACATGGTCTCTTTTTTTCCCCCTCCAGGGAAGAAAGGCGTGAGACACTTGAGCAAGACAGAAAAAAGAAAAAGGCTCACACTCTTGGAAAACGTAGAGGCCTATCTGTGTCTTAGGATGAATAAGGAGTATCTAAGACATCACTGTAAATACTGTTCTTCTCATGTAAAGGCTTGTGCTGTCCCTGTATGGTTCAGGTTGCTTTTAGCTAGTGGAATCTAGAGAGCAGCAATTAATGAGACCTTGTAATGTGCCCTGAGCATAATGTTTCTGTGATTAATTTCTCCACTGAGATGAGAATTCTAAACTTTCAAGGGCTTAGAACTCTCTTGTTGCTTCATATTTTCATTTAACTAATTTACTTCACTTAAAGATGTTAAAGAAGAAAATATGAGTGGAAAAAAGATGCTCAAGAAGCCTCCTTGCAACTGAGGATAGACTTGTGCATCGGAGTGCACTTGTTGCATGCTAGAATGCAGGCTTTGGATAGCAAGCTTCAAAATGTTAGTATTCAAAATGACCAGAGTTGGAAGTACCTGTTTGCCATGTTCTCTAGATCAATCCTTAAATTCTCTAAGTTACAGCAATTATTCAGCATTTCTAATTGCATCCTTTGAAATTATGTTTCATAAGAGAAGAAAAAATATGGAAGCTCTCTGGAAAACTAATGCATAACATAATTGTAAACTAACTTTTTTTAAAAAAGTCACAACTGAGTTTACAAATTGCCATCTGAATGCTTTGAGCAGTTTTTTGTTCTTTCTGTGGTTAATAAAACTCTCTTGCTTTTCATCTCTAAGATGCTTAAAAGAGGTTTTAAGTGTTGAGGCACATTCAATACCTTGGTTTTAAAAGCAGTTGTTATTCTTACATTAAAAAAATACATTAGAAAAGTTGTGTGGATTGGATAGGGATAGAACTAGAAAGGTAATTTAGCAGTTGTTTTCGGCTGTTGAGCAAGTAAATGTTTCACTGAATTTAGTATCCCATCAAAGAGATGTTGCAGTGTCAAGAAAAAGCAATTTTAAAAATAAATGTAATGGGGAAAATAAATATTTTGTATATGTTCTGTTTCTCACTGGCTTTATCATTTAGTATGGCACCTGTACCTGCTTCCTCACTGTAGCACTCTCTTTGTTCACACTTGTATTTACTGCTATGTTTCCCTGTACCAAGCTTTCCTCACCAACTCACCTGCCTCCCCCACTCTGTGAAAGATGTTTGCTCTGGTATCTTTAGAAACAATAACCTTCATATCCTTCTTCTACAATTAAGCTGTTGAATTCTGTGCAAAAGGAAAATGAAAGTACGAGATTCTGTTTCAGCTTGCTTCATTGTTGTCTTTCCATGTAAAATACAGGAACACTTAATATTTCTAAAGTATATTTAAACAAAGTCACTGTGGAGGAGGTCAGTGCTTTGATTACTTAAATTTGTGACAGCTGAAACTATACAAAGCAAGTGCTGAGTGGTTATCTTGAATTACTAAAAACTGGGCTATTCTGAAAAGGGGAGGTATTAAGGTTCTATGACACCAGTTGAGGCTGTGAATTCTTCCAGCACAGCTGAGTTAGCCTAACTGCACACAGCAAGAATGGGATCTGTTCTGCCCTGTAAAGGTGCTTGGCCAAGCTGTGCCTCCTTAGGGAGCAGACTCCCACCCCTCCTTTGGAGCATTACTTCTTTGTAGGATTATCTTCAACAGCTCTAAAGGAAAAAAGCCAAGCCTGCTGCATAGCTCTTGTTTCCATCTTGGCAGTGGCAGCTTTTTCTTTTTTTAGCTTTCCAGAGGAGCCAAAGCTAAAGGTTGAAATACTTCTGCCTTTTGCACTCCTGCTGCTGCTCTTTGTAAGTTGCAGTAGCTGAGTCACACCAGTCCTCAGAGTATTAATTCTCATACCTTTTCCAGTTTCAAACTAGCAGTTGCAAGTGTTTTGCAACTGTCAGCAAATTATGTAATGTAGAAAATGAAAGTGTTGGACAAAAAAAGAACTCACAAAATGCTTTTATTTCAGTAAAGGTCAGGACAAAAGCCAAAACATAGCAAGGGAAGAGTTACTATGCAAGAACATCACAACTGCTCTCAGGCTCCATTGCAATCCATCTCTGTACAGTCTCTCCAGGATTCTGTATTTGGAAGTTTAATGATGCCAGTGGTGTCACACTTCATGCACTTATCTCTTTTATGTTTACACAGGCTCTTCAAGTTGTTAAAAGCCACACATTAAGAAGTATTTTATAAAAATTAAATATCTGAAGAATTTTCCAAATGAGACCAGCCCAACTTAGACTGGAGTATTCTTGTCATATGTTTCATAGGCAAACTCTTCTCTATGAGCTCTGTCATTTAGCAGACCAATAAAATCAATCTCCAGCTGGAATGGACCATTTACTTTATCTCCAATGGTGAATCCAAGGGTTCTAACCTAATTTAAAGACACAGAGGGTAGAACAGTACTTATAACATTACAATCAAACTCGGTTGGATCTCCCACTTCCGTTTTTTACACATTTTACCATTCACAGCCATCTTCTTTAAACTGGTATTTGTTCAAAATGCAGCAGCATTTTTTAAGGCTTGAACACTTCACTACTCCATTTTCAATACAGCGCTCAGTGGGAAATGATTCCATATTTGCTTTTCTACCACTGTGTTAATAAACCCTTGATTTAAAATGGCCTGAGCCTAAAGCAACAGTTACTTTTATCCTTCACTGATTGTGTACAGCCCCTTTCACCACACTTGGGTTTCTAAATACATTGTCATAAACTCACATCTTATTAAATACATCTTTGTTTTTCTTATACATGAAAGAATTAAGGATGGGCAGGATCATTCTAGATAAAGTGATTCACCATCTACTTTGTGAAAACACCAAACCAAGACATTTTAGAACTTAATTTTAAGCTGGCATGAAACTTAATTACTGAGTTTAATAGTAAGAAAAGGTTCCTAGCCACTGGAATTTCAATTAGAATAATGTTCTTAATATAAGAATGCTGCCTCAGCTCTCACATGTTACAAAACACCTCCACTGTTAACAGCTCAGTCGAGTCACAAGTGCAGACCACCTCATGAACTGCCCAAAGCCCAGCTGAAAGTGCAGGTCTGAGCAGTGCCAATGATTTTAAGGACTGCTGTAAGTTTGGGAAAATAATGCCCAGGATGTATCAGATGAATAAATGTGGACTGAGTCAAAACATATATTGCAAATATATGCTAAATAAATAACAGAACAAAGCTGGGTAAATGCACTGGCACTCCTCTGGATCATTGTAATGCTTTCAATGCTATTCCTTCCTCAGCAGCAAGCTCTATAAGTAGACCCTTGGTTTTCAGAGCCCAGAGAGTTTTTAAAGCTCCTTTCCTTCAAATCACATTGTTAGAGATAACCTATGGGAGTCACCTAAACTCTTGGCTCTGAAGAATCTAGTCCTTTGCAAGCCCTAGATAAATTGACTGTTTCCTGCCTTTTTTATTCCTATTTAACCATTATTTTCTGCCTTTCCAGGTTCCTAAATAAACATACATTAGTACCACGAGGGCCATTCATTTAAGAGTTGGACTTGATGGTCCCTGTGGGTCCCTTCCTACTCCAATTATTCTGTGTGTGACCAAGACATTTTATTAAGATTTCTTAAACTACCTTCACACTGCTTCCCTGATTTCTGGGTTTCTTTAAAATATGTTTGTAAAATTACACTGCAAGTGCATAGTTTTTCCTGTCAAATGCTACACATAAAATAACCATCAGCAAAACTTCAGTGGAGGATGCTTAGATTTAGTAACTGATTTGTCCCTTTAATGCCTAGTAAATATTTTTAAATACCCCATATACAACTTTATGTTTTCATTTACCATACATGAGAATAAGTACCTTATAACTTGAAGAGGCCCTTGAATTTCAAATTCACAAACATTAGAGAATTTGTAAGTTATCTATATCAGTAAATTCTGATTTTCTTACAGAGCAGTTATGTGCTCCTTATACTGCCTTTTCAAATAAAGCCTACAGAAAACTTGCCTTGTCTAACCAGACAGGATGCTGGTTATCCTGGACTCTTCCCCGACTGGAGAAAAAGAATTTGGAGAATGGAATCTGACATAAACAAAACAAAACAACATCAGACTTTAGTGTCACTAGTATATAAAATAGAAACTTAGGGAAAAGAAAATAATGTGTTAGTAAAGTAACACTCCGCTATATTTGGTACTAGCATTGGTTGGGTACATAAAACTGGCACAAAGAAATGGGCCACATTAACCCTTTCAACTGGCCATTCACAGCCAGTTCCAGGCCCACCCTGTCCCGTGGCAGCCGTAGCCATCCCACAGGAGCATTACCCTGTCAGGACACAATGGAAGGCTGCAGCACAGAAGGTGGCTGTTTACATTGAGAATATCTCCTTCCAATAACATGAAAACGTAACCCAGAAATTCCTGCAAAGTCCAGCATGGATACATACTGACAGCTCATCTGTACCCAGGCTGTGGATTTTACAGTGCAAACTTCATACTCAGACATCAGTACCTCTAGCAAAGCATTTCAGGATAATGTGAAAATTTCTTTGAAAGTAGTGGGAGCAAGAAAGGAGGGCTGGCTGGTGGCTGGTGTGGGTGAGATGAAAACATCCAAGCCAGCAACGACACTCCAACTTTAAACCTCCTGGCTCCTCATCCGTGAAACAGCAGGCTGTTCCCACGTGATTGGACAATGGTATCATGGAGCACTCAACACCAGTGCATAAGGATGTGCAGACCTCCCTGTTGTTGTCATCAGACAATTACAAAAGGTCCCAAAGTTGTACCAGAAAAGAGCTGCAACTTGCACATCTTAAAAATATTATTTTGTGTCACAGAGTCAAGGGTGACAAATGACAAATCCCCAACTCGAGTCTGTCTGACTCTAGAGTGTCGCACTACATTAGGAAGGATGAAGCAGTACGACATGAGAGTCTCTTCTGGGTTGCACAGGAGAGCAAGTTTTATTATTCCCGATCTTCTTTTATAGACAGGTCCAAGAAGGTCCGAAAGGTAAAACTCTCATTGGTCATTAAACCAACACATCACTATTATTGGACAATTAGGAACAACACCCCTTGACTGTTTCTTGCGAGTAAACAAGGATCCAAACAACATCTGCAAATGTTGTTTTCCTTCTCCAAGGACTGTCTTGACTCCTTCTTATGATTTCTCAGGCCATAGTGAGAACTAGTTTCACACAGACACTGCTCCCTTGCTTGCTTTCTCACATTCAGCAGCCATACAGAGAGACTGTGAGTTAAGCAAATCTTGTTGCATGGAACAAATCCTACATCAGCCTGCACCCATTTGTACTACAGATAAAATGGTTATCGCAGAGAATATTCCAGGCAACACCTGCTAAGTTTCAGTTGCTGTACCTATCCTATTACTCCAGTAAGAGCCAAGAGTAGGCATTCAGAGGAACATATGGTGGATCAACTCTTTAACACAATTGACACAGTGTGCCCTCCCCTAGCGTGCTTTTGGGAACTCCCAAAGGCACATGTCTATTGTATAATGAAAATGTCGAGTAGACAGCAATAGAAAAAACTGGGAAGGTTGAAAGAATTCCCCTTCCCATGTTTTGGTCAGGACCTCAAGACAGTCTCATTAGTTTGAAAAACTCATTAGCTCACCTTTATTTCCTCCCAGTACGGGCCTCCTCGCGTGAACATGAAGTAGCTGTAGAGGTCATCCTTTTGATGAGAGAAGTAAGGGTCTGTATAAATGTTTACCATCCAAGGTCTGCCATCACCACGGATACGTAAATACAGAGTGTTGAAATTTGACCAGTCATAATACTTCTTCCTGTTAAAAGATCCCTACAAATTATTGATAAATAGAATTATTCCTTCTTAATAGAGGTACACTTCCGTTTTGAGGAACAGAGCATTGTTGCTTTGATCATTGCCCTTGTTACTGTATCAGTATCATGCCCTTGTTACCAT